AAAAAAGACATCATGACATCATTTTGAGGCACAACTCAATGCCGTCACGGAGGCCACATTGCAATTCCAATGCCTTCTCCACTATTTTTTGCCAAGGCGGAGCGTTTTCCTTCTGAATTGTGCCTAGGAAAGGATAGACGAGTGCCTAGGCGCACTTTTTAGAACCATGTGGGAAATACAAGAACATATCACTCGCGACTGTGATTGGGCAGGAATAGTCCGGCGACCTAGTTCTATAAGCAAAATATTTGGTTGGGGAGAAAGTAAATCCAGTGAAGAATGAATTTGTAAGGTTATGGAAAAAGCGACAAACGATGAAATCTGATCTTTCATCACAAACCTATGGTTTCTATGGAAGTAGAGAAACAACCATCTATTCATCAACTCAAAACTTGAGGAGGCGGAGATAATAGGGAGATTAGAGCGATATCTCGATAACTTGAGAAGATAGATGCAAACCTGGGAAGCAAACCAGATTACAATGGGAAAAACCTTGAGAGGGAACCTTCAAGGCAAAGGTTAATGCAGCAATTCTACAGGGCGAAGGAGCAGGGTTCGGAATGGTGGTGCACGATGGAGCTACAACCTTCCACATGGAGGCAGTTCATCGAACGAGAACAAAGTGGACACATGAGCTTGAGGAATCATCAACGATGCTCTGGGTGATGCGCCTATGTATAAATCACCACTACCGGCCGATATTGATGGAGTTGGATTGTCTGTCGATGATCAGGACGTTCCAAGATGAAGAACACACATATATGGAGGTGGAGACAGTGTGCAATGAGATCAAAAGGTTGATGCAAGAGGAAATGGAGGTCATGGTGTGATTTTGGGGGAGGTAAGGAAATGAAGCGGCTCACTTGATGGCCAGTGTGAGATTCCACTAGGAAGAAGCCAAAATGTGGGTCGACCGGCCTCCGGTTTTCATTCTGACCTAGTTAAATATAGATTGTAACACCGTTGTTTTGAATTATTAAAATTCCAAGCCAGTTATAAAAAAAATTAAAATTAATGTTTTATCCTTCTTATCTTTCATTTATTAAGAGATAACAAATACAATTAGACAGGAAAAAACAAGAAAATGCTCTTTCTCTCGGAATCCAACCGCTACTTGATAATACCCACTCTTACCCAACTAGAACTTCTTTTAGAGGAAGCCTTACCCCCCACTAAATCCATAAACGATACTTATATTGAGTTTGGAAGGACAACGACCGCCTAGAGTCAGGAAGGACGACAACTTAGAAGAAGAATTGGTAGTGGCCGCATTTTTGGATACAGGTTGGTAGTGGCAAGGAAAGGGGTGACTGCCGTTTGTTTCTTCTTTTTTTGGCAGAGGTCAAAAATATAGGAGACTTATGGGTGTGTTTGTTTTGTAATTTTTGTTTTATTTTAAGATTTAGGGCGAGGTTTAGCCATACAATTTTTTATGTATGTATTGGACTATTTTCTCTTTCAAGATTTTAACTTTTTATGGGCAATATCAAATTCTTTTATGAAGCTCAATGCTACCCCCCCCCTAAACTGGGAGGGAAAAAAACCCTATTCTATTACAATGACGGCAAATAACCTGGAGCTTTAACTAGTCTGTTACTATTTCTACTAGCTACTAATCACTACAATATACTAACTATAACAAGAATGCTTTGGTACAACCTGAATTGAGACCCAAGTTACCTACTCTTGGCATTTCTATCAATCTTCTAACCGACCTGATCACTGCCTCACATCTCGGATTGGTTTTGCCTCCATTGATACTTGAACATCTCGGATTGGTTTTGCCTCCATCAATCTTCTAACCGACCTGATCACTGCCTTACAAACTAGACGTCCCACTAAAGAAAATTCCTTCTTGCCTTCGAACTACTTTCTTATTCTTAGAGCTTAGAGCGTATAAAGAGAGTGACTCTACCGCTTTAGTTAAAAGGGCCCATTTTTTATTCAAATGTATATTTCGAAATGAAATTATAATAATATAGTATATAATTCGTGTCTTTGTTGAAAGGCGGTTGTACTAAAAAATTATCTCATTACAATAGATCTTCCCTATGATGGGGTTATCGAAAAGAACAGCCAAGTCAAATACTCACCATAGCTAGGGAAACATGGGTAGGACTTTTGAAGCATCTGCAGATAGCCTTTCAGTACACTGAACGGGTAAGCATATTGAAAAAATAAATGATCTCTGGTTTCTTGTCTGTAGAGCATAGTAAACATATATCATTCCCAAATCCCTCAATTCTTCAATCTGTCTAAGGTTGTGATCCAATTTTTCACTGCAGCCAACTAATAAAACTATGCCTAGGAATAGAGTGCTTGTACCAGATGAGATAGAACCAAGCTACTGGCATCCTTGATGGTTGCAAATCTCCCCAAACAGTTTTGAAAGAGTATTGAGTCATATTGACTATTCCAAAACTCATGGGCACCCTAGCAGTTCAGAAAACCTTCAACTTTATCTCTAACTTTTAGTAACCTTTCCAGATCCATGAACAAG